AGGATCCTGAAAAATCAACTCCTGAAGGTATCCATACAGAATGAGAGTCTTGTTATGTTTTTTGGAGTCAATCAAATACACACAGTTTTTTAACAGTAGTATAATAAAGAGTGTACAATTTTTATCACACTATGTCCAGTCTCATTACTTCAACTTACATCAATTTCCAGATATATATTAAATCCAATATAGCTCTAAGATTAATTCACTTTCACTAGGATATACCACAATATGTAAATACTCAAACAGTAAGAGCACAAATGCTTACAATAATTACAAACACAGCACATGTATTTTTTAAATTCAAAATGACCCAAATAAACACAGTATGTGATAAGAGGTGAAAAAGTTTAGATTATTTAATTCATGAAGATATAAGTTATAGGATCCTCTAGGATGCACATTTGTTTATAAAAGAGCTAATGGTACTACAGAGAGAGGAAAAAAAAAAAGAGAATGATTTAGGTGTAATTTTTAGACCAAATTTTGAAACCCTGTAATTCATCAATTAATGTTCTAAAAATGTATAAATTAAAAAAAAAAATTATTGAGAGATACTGCCTTGGAAAATTTTTATCTCGATGTGGCACTGACAAATTTTCTAAAATTTTAAGGAGATTGCTTTCTTGCTTAGCATGTCAAAGACCTTACTAAGCAACATTTACTTTAGCCTATTTTTAATGCTAAAAAAGATAGTTGGCACCACTGTTCTGTACTGGTATTTTTATATTAATGGCCATGTAGATGAGAGTAAAAGTGTAGATTTGGTGTATCTGGACAAGGTGCCACATAAAAGGTTTGTGAAAAAAATTATCTCTATAGGTGTGGGGGATAAGTTGGTTAATTGGATAGGAGATTAGCTGGAAGGAAGGAAGCAGAGGGTTGTTATAAATGGAGTTCACTCAAACTGAATTAATGTTACAAGTGGGGTACCTCAGGAATCAGTCTTGGGACCTATGCTCTTTTTTATTTACATCAATGACACAGATGAAGGAATAAGTTACTTAAGTTTGTTGATGATATTAAGGTCTTGGGTGTTGATGGCTGTGAAGAGGATACTGCTGATTTACAAAAGGGTTTAGATCATTTAGTGAGTTGGACAAATATATAGCAGATGGGTTTTAATTATAATAAATGCAAGATAATGCATGTGGGTTATCATAATCTGAATTATAAGTATAATTTGGATGGGAATAATCTTAACAGTGTTATCAAAGAAAGGGATCTTGGTGTAATGGTTGACCAGTCTTTTAACTGTATGAATGATAAGGGCTGGCTTTGGAAGTTTTATTTTTATTTAATAGTTTCAGTTTAGTTTAGAGGATGGGACAGCCCAGATGGGCCAATAGGTCCCTTGTTGTCTCTAAAAATTATGTTATGTTATATATGTAATAGCACAAAATATTAACACTAACATTAAAGGCTTCTTTATGTTAAAGAGAAACTGAATGGTACTTTGGCTTTTAACGAATGATGATAGGGAGAGGGATTTGGTTAATGATAATTAGATGGCTGTACATCTATATGTATTTTTTTCTCACAAGTTTTTACTATGGAAAACATAGGGTGGATTCTACAAGTGTATCTCCCTCCAAAAGTTTATAAGATATCCTTAAATGAGATTAGGATGAAGTTAGAGCTGTAAGATTCAACATTATAAATTTGAAGGAATATAATGCACACTGATATAAATAATATTTATCCTTGGATAATGAACAAAACTAAAGATTATATTGTGAGCTGTTAATCATTATCTTTAATGAATCTTCTAAAAGTGGTGAGGTGTTGTAAGATTGGAAGTACCCAATCACAGAAATTTGTAAAGGCAGGGGTAGGCAATCTCCACATAATTACTCTAAAAACATTTAAACAAGTTTCATATTATCACAGGTAGTTAGCAGGGAACTTGAAAAGGAAGGTAATGACTTGTTAATTTGCTTTCTTTGAAAATGTTACATTTAACTTGGATATTAGTAATGTATTACATGTTTGGTGTACATGGACTTTCTAAAATCTTTTGATAAGGTGCCACATCAGACTTATTAAAAAGATTGCACCTGTTGGGACAGGAGATAAGCTGGATAAATTGAGAGAGAGTTTAGAGGTACAAGGAAAAAAAAGTATAAATAGGATGAAATCAGATAATCAATGTTACAAGTGTGGTGTACTTTACTTGTAAGAAATCAGAAGTCAGCCAGCTAGTAAGCTATTTCTTATTCTCATTAATGACAATGATGAAAGAATTATCATAAGATACTATATTAATGGGTATTTCAAGATGAAATGTTTTCAGCAAGATTTGGACTATCTGGTGGGCTTAGTATTTGACAGATGTCTTTATATTGCAATAAAAGTAAATAATGGTGATGTGGTGCCCTCTTGGATGACAGGCAATTTTCTGATATGACTGACAGAACAAAATAAATCTTTAAGAACACCAGCAAACAATCATATTTTGACACACTAGATGGCAAATCATAGGTCAGATACTTAACAAAATTGTTGTTACCTGATAAAACTAACCCATGTACCATTTATAAAACCAAATGAAGTCATGATGTAAAGTTATTAACATATATGAGAACTGCAGACATTGTAGTATTTTCTTGCCTACAAGAGTACAGAAGCCTACAGTTATCTGGTTGCTAGTTGGGTTCAACTACAGTAATTAATGACCACACTGTAGTGAATTCAAAGGCCAGGACTTGTGTTATACCCAAGATGTTTTTTACATGCCTCTGATTTCGAACATGCAATGTACAAGTTAAGAGGAATGTGAAAAACAAAGATCTACAGTTAACATGATTTTCATCACAAGTTTTAAGCTTATTGGTTTCTAATGATTCACCATCTTTTAGCATTTAAACTATAACCTTTAAAGATGTAAATACTGTTTCCATGTAAAACGACTGCATAAGGTTATGTACTTATGAATGTATAAATCATATTTACAGGTCTTGTAATCCCAGAGAATTAGGGAAACACCCTTGAATCACTGGCTTATCACCTAAAAAGGTGGTAAAATAGTTGCAGCTCACTGTAACTGTATGGCAAGTTTGGGAGAAGCTCTTGGTTACTTAACAGTTACTATTGTTTGGAACTGAAACTAAAGCATGAATTTATGACACAAAAACTGTGATTGAAGAAAAAACATACTGAATGATACCATCAGAAGTTTAAGATGTGCCACATAGCGAACTTGCAGAGATTGATTTTATCTCTGCTAAAACTAAGAAAGTACAACTAGATGAAAAACTGATAAAATTGCAACATCTAAGCCAAACAGGAAAACAATATTTAATGTTGGTCCTCCATATGAAGCTGAACTTACTTGTTTACTTAATGTTTTAGTTAACAACAAAGCTACACAAAAGGGGTGGGTTAATGCACCAACAATTCTCTCTCTTGTGCCACTATACTCAGACAAGTATATCCCTACCCCTATGTCAGAGTGTTATCCAGTTATTCTGACTGATTTTTATGATCTTAATGCAATTCATTTGAATGGCAAGGAGTTGCCATTCGAAAAGTGTATGAAAACTGAAATCAGTGTAACACCAAAAAAAGTTAAAAATGTGGAAAGAAAACAATGGGTAACACTTTCACTTTCAAAAAGAGCATATCGCTACACGAGAAAAATATAAATTGTATACAAGTATAAAAAAAACATGTCTGTCTCTGATCAGGCCAATATACTATCCATGTGAAACAAAATTTACCAACAAGGCAACTCAGTAATCATGAGAAATGAGCAGTGGGTGAATATAAGGAGAAAATGAATGGTTGCAGTTTGGTTAACAATCCTATTTTACTACGTTTGGGTGTAACACCTGATGGGATTGTGACATGTGACAGTTGCTGGGATGGCTGTTTGGAAGTTAAGTGTCCATACTGCATCAGGGATGATAAAACAGATGAGCATTCTGTCACAAAAAACATGTTTAGAAATTGTAGATGGAGAAATATACTTTAATGATAACCACCAATATTATTCTCAAGTCCAAACTCAACTCCCATTATGTCAAAATGCCTACATTGACTTTGTTATCTGGGCATCCAAAGGCCTACACAATGAGCATATTGAAGTGAGGAAAATGCACTGGAGAAAATAATTATGAAATCAAGGGAATTTTCCAGTCTGTTTGTTACCAGAACTTGTTAGTAAAATTCATTAAAGATCCAGTGTACCCTTTACAATTTCAATGGCCAATTCCAATGATGATGTTCAACCAAGTTCATTGAATCAGTGGTAGTATTAGTAACTCACATCAAACATGGTGCATTTGTAATGGACCTGAGCATGGACAGATGGTGGCTTGTGACAATGACTACTATAAAATTGTTTGTTTTCATTTTGAGTGTATTAAACTTAAGCAAGCTCCAAATAGTGCTTGCTACTGTTCACAATGTAAATTGACAAGACATACAAAAAAAAAGGAAGAAATAAGTAACTATAATACATATTTTGTATCATCATGGCTAGACTCAAAAATTAAGAGGACTGAACATCCCATTTGTATGAGGGACATCTATAAAGTATTAAAATGCATGTTCACTGTACTAATTTTACTATTTTCAGTGTTTTATGTGCTTACCTTCATATGACTTTTTTCCAAAATATTTTTTGTTAACAATTTTTCAGATTCAAAATTGCATTGCATATATATATATATATATACATAATTTTGTATATTTTTATCACATTAAAAAAATAGAAATTTACAATTATTCATATTAATCTTTTTAATTAAGTAGATGCATAAAATAAAAATTGATGGTTAGACAATTTGTTTTTCTTTGGCCTTTCAGTTTACATATATATTCCAACAAACAGCATGCATATTGAAGATTATTCAAGATCTTTTTTACCACCAAATACATTTTGGATTAACAATTTCAGATATTTAGTTAATTATATAATTTTTATCAACATTGACTGTGGCCTGTGATTGTGTTTTAATATTATATGAATTAACAAGTACAATTTTCTTGTACATGAATTAATAAATATAATTTTCTCATGTTCACTTTACTGGAAAATATTCAAGATGATTTCATATCACTACATCACATATAAATATGAATTCTCTTGTATTCACCGACTTTGACCATTTAATTCATATTTTCCAATTCTAATTTTGAATGTTCTTGTGGAGTTTATAGGAAAATGTTTCAGCATGAAGACCAAATGAAAAAAATTCTGTAGTTTTAGTTGTCGCATGAAAACAGTTCTAAAGAAAAATTGTACAAAAGAAAAACTGCTCTTAAATTCAACCTGACACTTTGTAAACTTTAGTTTCCAACTAAATTAACAGAAAATTATAAATTTGGCCTACTCCTTTAAGCATTTCATGTGATAATGATTTGCAAAAGTAATTTCATCACATTTACTCAACTACCTAAAACGTTCTACGGTTTATAAAAAATAATAATTTAAGAATAGGCAAATAGATCCACAAAATATCTTTCATTCTTAGTCAAATTACATTATTCTGACTAAAGCATAATACACACATACCATTTTGTCAATTGTTGTACATTCCTCACCCTTCTTAATGATACTATAGTCAATGGGCAGCATTGTTTATAGAATATTATAATTCTAACAGAACCTAAAACACATTCCAAATGTATTCTAAAGTTGGAAATTTCTCTTGTGTGGTCTATTTCCCTGGCTGAAAATTGTTGTTTTTCTATTTGTAAATGCAGAAATATTGACTTCAGTACACATAATTCCTACACTGTCCTGAAAGTCCAGACCTTCATGTGTTTGCACGACATCTCCAGAAAGAAGTTTGTTCAATATGCCACAAAGCTCTGTTATAAATTTATCACCCTGGGGTGTAATTCCAATAAGAAACTTGGCTGTGTTGTGATGTTTATAAGATGACCAGGATTGTGCACAAGCCATTAGGTTTGGTGGTTGGTTGATAAAACACCTCAAAACATTTCACAACAACTGCAGCCTTGGTTCCAAAATGAGCATGAAAACTCATTGGCATGGTTTTTTTTAAGGTTCTCTTTTTCAGACCAGTTCCACAAACATAATGTCAATTATTAAAAGAAACATATAGTTCACTGTGGCTGTTGATTTATGAAATCTGTAAGATGGGTCCTGCACTAATAAATTGAGTTGAAGTTTCATTAAAGTTAATAGTAGCTGTTGAAAATTTGTGAAACAGCTTCTGTCCGTGAGTAGAATATATGGCTCCAGATAAAAGTGCCATGAGTACTGTGTAATTTGTAAGTCTAGTGTAGTACATGACATCATTAGTATCAAAATAATCAGGTGAAACATCAGACAACTGTACTTCTTTCTTTAGTCCAACATTTTTGCCAAGCAATCTCTGCAGCTCATGCTCAATGGATGAAACTAGTTTCATGTGCAGCTGAGTCTGTGATGATGTCCAAGTCTCCACAGTATACGACTAGTTTGGGACTTCATTAACACATCTAAACCTCTGTAGCATTAACAATGCTGCAGCTGCACTGCTTTATTTCTGTTGAACACTGAACTGCATACCCATATCGTGACTTCAGATCTGTTGTAGGTGTTGTGTCACATGTTGATTATTGAGCCTCAGTCATGATTCATGTAATCATACAAGTTTGCCAGTTTCCCTAAAAAATATAAAATTCTAAATAGTAAGTTGTTTACTTCTCAAAAATGGTTTCAAAAGGTTTAAAAATTTTTATTTACATATACCTAATAACTAGAATTTATGATGGGGTATTATGCCAACCTGTTTCAACATCAGCATTTTTTCACAGTGCAGTAAAAATGTTTTGTAAATTTAAATAAATTAAGGTTATATATTCAGATGATATTACTTCTAAAAAGAATTATAAATCGACTAATTCTCCCATTGATGCATAGTATAACTATTTAGGCTTAACCCAAGTATCATTATCAGTAATACTCTTGATATTTCAATATGCAAATTATTGTGCCTATGAAATATTTCAGCTGTACATACACATCTCCACCTTTTTATAAATGACAACAACAACAACAACAACTGACAACTGTTTCCATTTAAACAAATTTTTAAACTTACCAGCAATGAAATGTTCCGAACAGACTCTAATGTAGGTGTAACTACTCTTTAGTATCAGCCCTAATGATGTGTACTAGCCAACTGACTTGTCCATCTTTTGATAATTGTCTGGTTTTCTTTCTTTGAGGCTCAATCACTTAAGATAAGTGGAGAAAATGACTTTTCTTTATCACTGTCACCTCTGTTAAAACAATTTACTACTGCACAAAAGCTATGCATTATGTATTTCTTGTTATATCAGTACAGTCCTCTTAATGCTAGTGTTTATCAATGCATGGCTGTGAGTTATTGCCTGTCTTCCAAGATGGCATAGAGAGAACTTGTGAAGTCAAGTGTAAACCCTCTATTGGTTAAAAAAAACAAATATTCTTATAGCCTTACATGAGAAGTTCTAGGTAAATTTGATGAGGAAAAAGTTTTGATTTAGATATTAGTCTCTAAACCCGTCTATTAAAAATATACATTAGACAGTAATAAGGTAAGCAGAATTTTAAATTGTATACATAGAAATATTGAATACAACTCAAAGAAAGTCATCAGTTTACTCTATAAAGATGATTGTTAGACTTCACCTGGAATATTATGTCAAGTTTTTGTCATCTTTTTTTTTTAAGAAAAAAAGGTTATTGGAAAGGGTTCAGAAGAGATATCATAATGATTCTAGATTTGGATGGTGTATCATAAGATATTAGGTTGAAGACACTTCATATGTGTTTTCTTTGGGAGAAATGACTGGGGGTTTTAAGACTATTTGTTGGACTGAATTCTAAGTATCCTGAGTAAAGTTTTAAAAATCAACAGGCAGGAAAACTTGAAGTTTAAAATATGGAAAACCAGACATGGCTCCAGTTCAAGGAGTGTGTCTTTATAACAGTAGTCAATTGTGGTTTATTGAAGTGATTCAGGGTGGATTTCTATACCACATGGTCAGATATTCAATTAGAGGGGATGCAATTTTAGATTTACTGTTAACCACTAATGAAGACATGGTTTCATTTGGGAAAAAGTGATTATAATACAATTAGGTTTGATGTTTTACTACATGTTGAGGTAAAAAGAATTTAAATCTTAATTCATAAACTTTATAAAGCCAATTTTGAGGCCATGAAACAAGAATTATCATTAGTGAATTGGGATAATGCATTAAAAGGTGATGTAAAACAGCTTTGGAAAAATTCACGAAAATAAGATGCTTTTTTTTTCAAGACAGGCATGTACCTTAAAAGTGGAAATATCAACAAGGAAGATCAAACGTAATTGCTTACTAAATATATAATAGAGAAAACCAGAAGTAAATGCCCAAGTTTAAGTTTAAATTGACAGATAGGCTGGCTGATTATGTTAAAACTAAACTGATAGCATGGATTTTTTTCTACTATGTTAAAGGTAAGCAAAATGGGGATTGGGTCCTTAAAGGAATGAAAATAGCAAGGTTTTTATTGAAGATGATGAGATGGCCGAGCTTTTAAATGTTTTATTCTCTTCTTTTTTTTACAAGAGAAAAAAGATATTAGTAAAATTCTTGACCTTAAGCATTCTATAGGAATAATAAAATTGACCTGAATCTTGTAGATATTGCATCCCTTGTGGTAAGTTGAAAGACAGATTAAGAACAGACAAGGTTTTTACCAAATTTTTTAAGAGGTCTAAGAGCTAATGTGTAAACCTCTCTCTTTCATATTTATCAAATCAACAGACAATGAGCTGGTGCCAGAAGATTGAAGAGTTTCTAATATTACTCCTATTTCTAAAGTGGCTGTTAAAAGTTGCCCTGGAAATAAGTTAGCTAGTCTTATCTTTTTAATGAGAAAAGTTCTAAAGAGCTTGGTAAATTAATATTTACAAAACCATGTAGTGAAATGTATAATAAAGAAAGCTGATGTGGATTCACCAAAGGGAAATCATGCCCCAGTACTCAATTAACTTTTTTTACTTGTAATCTGGATAATTGCGAAGAAGATCATTCCTGTATGCATTGTCAATGTAGATACGAAATAGATAAGGCAGGTCAATAAATTCAACTAGCTGGGAAGCTGGATAACATCAGATGGTAAATGTGATCATGAAATAAAATGAAGAATAGGGATGACTAAAAATGCATTTCTGAAAATAAAAAATATACTGACCGAAATAAAATTTTTAAGGAGATGATGTTAAGATTTTGGATTGCTATGTTATGCCATTTCTCATGTATGCATCAGAATGTTGGACAATATCACCAATTATGGAAAAGAGAATTCAAGTAATTGAGTTGTGGTTCTTAAGACACATCTTGAAGGTAAGTTGAACAAGTCACACTTCAAATGAAGATATTTTGACAAGAGCAGGTTGCCAGGGGGAAGCTGCTGACTAACATCAGAAAGAGACAGTTGGAGTTTTTCGGACATGTTATGAGGAAAAAAGAAATTGAAAGTCTGGTCATACCTAGAAAGATTGAAGGAAGGAGAGACCATGGAAGACAGAGGTTTACTTTGTCCAGAGTCTACCAAGATGGATGAAAGTATCAACACTGGACATTCTGTGTGTCTCAAGAAGAGATCTTTGGAAAGCCATAGTCACCAACATCCTGTATGGATATGGTTCACAGAAATAATCTGGATGAGAGAAAGAGTGTATTTACATTCTCAAAAGCTTCCAGTGTGTCACACAGAAGAATAACTAAGAGTCACATATGCAGAAATAGAGGAAAGGCAAGATAATAGGACAGCTGGTTGTTGAATAAGAGAAAGCAAAAGGTTATTATGGATATCAGTCAAACTGGACTCTTGTTACTAGTGAAGTATTCAGAGATCAGTACTTGGTCCTCTGCTTTTTCTTATTTACATTAATGATATTGATAACAAGTTGGTAAAGCTCACTGTTGCTTGTTGGCATTCAGCTCTCGAGTATTTCTAGCTATATTGAAGAATGTGACTTATCAACTGTTTCATGATAATAAGCTTACAAGTGTCCCAAAAATTCTTCAACACCATTTTCAATTTGAAGGACCAAATGGTCCCTTGTTGTCCATATGTTCTTATGTAATAAACAAAACACTTGAAAAATTTTATAACTGAATCAAAATTGCAAACTCAAACTCAACATTACAAGTAAGTTTAATTTAGTATGTTAGGTGCATGATATTAATGCATAACTTAAACACAGAAGCTAAAACTAACTGAAATAACTATCTATACTTATAGTTCCAGAATTAGCTAATACATTTCTCTAGTCATCAGGAAATAGAAAATGATGTAAGTTTAAGTTAAGGAACCATTTAAAAGTTTACCATGAGTACTGTGATAGAAAAATATTAAAATTGTACAAATCCAGTAATTTCTTCTATTGCTTTCTGCTGATCGTATGAAGACATCTGTTGATAACAATGAAACTCCATTGAAAAGGTTGCTGTTCCTGAAGTCACTGTTCGAAGATCTGTAGAATATTTCTTTAACTCAGCTAATGGAGTAATGGCTGTTACAATGCGATTTTCTTGTCTGAATTGTATTTCCTGAATCTGACTTCGTCTCTGGGATAGATCTGCTAATATTTGGCTCAAGTGATTTTCATCTGTCACTACTTCTAATTTCATAACTGGCTCAAGGAGTTGAGTACCAGCATTCTTTAAAATAGAATGTATACACTGGGAGGCTGCTGCTGAGATCATAGCAAGAGAGGTTCTAGGACCAACTTCTAAACAGTGTAGAGCTATGTGTATATCAATAACAGGAAAGCCAATAAGTGGTCCACAACTGATGCTTTGTTCCACACCATTATTTACAGCTTTCAGGTAATCAAGACGAATTTTGCCTAATTCATTATTTTTATCTGGTACAACTTGTACTTTTGAAACTTTCCCCTCACCAAGAGCAGGCTTAATTGCTAATGTAATTTTCACAAAATGTTTTGTACCTCCTAATACCTTGTTTAATTCCACCGTTTCCTGATGTGAATTATTAGCTGTTTCACGATAGGAAACTTGCAAGGGTCCCAAAAAGGCTTCAACACCATATTCGGTTTTAATGCGATCCTTTATAACTTCCAAATGAAGTTCACCCATTCCTGACACAACAGTTTGTCCAGAGTCACTATCCAGATGCACTTTAAATGTTGGGTCTTCTTTTTGAAGACACTGGAGTGCATATTCAAGTTGTTTTTCATATGCTAGAGATGGTGCTTCAATTGAACAAAAAAACACTGGATCTGGAACTTGTATTCCAATTGAAACTGCAGATTCTTCTTCCTCTAATAGCTTCTGTTCAGCTATAACATCAACTTGATGATGAGATGCTACAAGAGTGTCTCCAGTTACAGCATTTTTTAATCCAGTAAGTACAACAATACTTCCAGAATGAGCTGATTTTACTTCTCTGAAGTCATCAGCATATGGACAGTACATTCTTGCTAACTTTTCTGTTTGTGACCTGTTTACATTATAAATCTTCTGTCCTTGCTCAACCTTTCCCGAGTATACACGAACAAAACTCAAAGGTCCTTTCTGTTTATCATGCACAATTTTAAAAACCAAGCAACAGAGACTTTCACCATAATATTTAAGGAACTCATATTTTCTATCTAATGGACTAGGTAAATATGCATTAATAGCATCTAAAAGAAACTGTACAGCAATGTTATGATATGAACTACCACATAAAACAGGAACACCACTCTGACTGTAAGTAACACGTCTCACAGCAGCATAAAGGTCATCGTCTTTCAAATGGGTAGTTGTTTCATCCTGTAGTATTTTTTCTGCTAATACATCATCCAGGTCTGCAAGATGATTAATTAGTTGTTCCCTTCTGCAAGAAGCATCCTCCCAAAAACTGCCATCAACAGCAGAACTGAGTTTTAATTTTTTGAATACACTTCCATCATCAATATGTGGATTTTTTATGTCCCAAAGACACTTTTCCAGTGTTATAAGATCTACAACACCCTTGAATGACTTTCCTTGTCCTACTGGTAACTGTAATATTAATGGATTAACGTGAAGCTTTGTTTTTATTGATTCAACACTTGCATTAAATCTTGCTGATAGTTTATCCATTTTATTGATGTACACAATACGTGGAAGATCATAATGATTAGCCTGTGACCAAACAGTAAGAGTCTGAGCTTCCACTCCTGCAGATGCATCCAAGATTGCTACAGCACCATCCAATACTCTTAATGATCGTTCCACCTCAATAGTAAAGTCTACATGGCCTGGTGTATCAATCAGATTTATTTTGTAGCCCTTCCATGGAAAAGTGATCGCTGCTGATGTTATAGTTATTCCCCGCTCTCTTTCCTGTGGCATATAGTCCATAATTGTATCTCCCTCGTGAACTTCACCCATTGTACGAGAAAATCCTGAATAATACAACATACGTTCCGTTGTTGTAGTTTTACCAGCATCAATATGGGCAATTATGCCTATATTTCTTATTAAGTCTATTTTTTGTTCAACACCGTGATCTTGTAAAGATGGGCTTTTGTTTGAAAAACTTCGAAAACACTGTGATCTCACATTCTGATAACAGTGCGAAATGAACAACTTTGTTTCCAAACAAACTGTGGATGATCTCAAATGTAACAAAAACTTAGGCCTATGACTTATTAACTTCGTTAATCTCAAGTACATCCACGGCGATGAGCAGTTACATTTAAAAGCCGCTAAAACTCCCAATCCCATAGCTATGCTAAAAATTAGAAATTATATTCTATTAACTTCTTACAAGTTACAGTGAACACCTCTAGTAAAAAGGTTGAACATATATGGTATATATTATTAAATTAATTACAGAATCAAAATTAGAAATGCTCATAAAAACTTTTGGGTCTCATGCAGATACAGTTAATATTAATTGATCGTATCGTTTACACTTGTAATTACAAGTCTCCACGGGACATAAAAGTTTTTCCCTAGCGGATTTTCAACGTAACCTATAAATTTATCTGAAACGATACACCTGCAAATATATAGTTTGAATTACGGGAAAATCTCCAAATACAGCTAGTGAGGTCACTGTTCTGTCCGATGTACGCAATTTTTTATAAGGACTTTTACACCACAAATGTAATAACAACAGATATAATGACGATGAATATATCTAAATTTATACTGATTCAGTCATCAAGCAAAAATGCCTTTAGCATGAAGAAAGGTTTGTCGTACCATTTAGAGTTTCTTTTTCTTTTACTTGAGGAGGATGGGGTAAATTGCTATGGCACAATCGGTAAATCTTTCTATCAAGGCAAAAAATGCTTCTAATAAAAAAGAGGATAAACGTGTATACATTCATCAAATTTGTTTCTTAGCTTTCTAGGTTACAGTATAAGTCACTAGTTAGGCTACATTTGGAACATTGTGTTCAGTCTTGGTATCGTTACCTTAGGAAGGACATTAAATTGTTGGAAAGGGTCCAGAGGAAGATTAGTAGAATGGTGCCTTTAATGGAGGAGTTATCATATGAGGAGAGATTAATATTTTTGAAATTGTTTTCTCTTGAAAAAAGAAGAGTTATGGAGATATGGTTGAGGTATTTAAGATTGTAAAGGGAATTGATAGTGTTAATGCATCATCTTTTTTTCATACTTAACGCCGAGAATAATAGGACTAGGGGACACAAATATAAATTTTGAGAAAGCTTGATAACTATATGGATGATAAGGGCTGGCATTAAGGTTTTTATTTTATTTATTTATTTGTTTAAATTTATTTATCTGATAGGTTTATTTTAGTTTATATGATAGGATAGCCGAGATGGACCAAAAGGTCCCTTGTTGTCTCTAAACATTATGTTATGATCAGTTCAACTGTGATGAAGCTAACATAACATGAAATTTGGAAAGTGAACAGCCTTTATAAAATAAAACTACTATTTTTAGCGTTTCTCATTTAGTTTATTTATTAGTATTTTTAAATAAAAAGTTAGATCTTGGTTTTGTAACATAAAGATTTTCATGTTTTATAAAGTACAGATAACTAATTTCGCACCGTTGTATTTCCTCATCTTTACATGTATTTGTGCCAAACTTTAAAAAAGTATACCAGTATATTGCTATAAGCTATATTTTCACTGTTTTAATTTATATGTTTCTTTGCCAAAGAGATGCTCGTCATTATGTAATGGTGTTGACGTTATGATCTAGAAATTTCGTGTAGTGATGAGAAAACGAGTATGATAAAATTTAGAAAATCAGTGAAGCGGTGAGATAATGAATATTTAATGAGGGATTCAGTTTATTATTAGTAGTAAGAGTTATCTCTGTTTAGTTATTCGATTAACGAGAAAAATTCTGTAACTAACTTTATTTGTGAATTAGGTGTACACTGAGTGGTCACGAGTAAATAGACATCTAATTTTTCGTCA